CAAAAATCTTCTTCGAGGCATCGTTCGCGAGTTATTCATGAAAAACACTGAGGCGAGCTCTGCCGGCGCGACGTGGGCGAGCCAACGTGCGGTCGAAACCCAGTTCCGCTCATTGGCTCGGCTGTCTCACCTCCTATTGGTCACTGTTTTTCGTTAATAACTCGTAAACAAAGCCGCGGATCGCAATCTCGCCTCAGGAACCCCTCATTTCTCGGAAATACCATAATTTTAGGACACCCTGTATATATATATTTTTCTTTTTTAGCGTTTCCCTTGATTTTAGCGTAGATCAGTGTTTCCGTTTATTATCTGCGTTCTGCTCGATCACGCGGATTTAACGAATTGCCATCGCAATACGTTTTATCAGCGATATGCGTACCTTCGGAGAACCTAGGAGATTTACTTTAGATTTATAATACCCGTTATCAATTACGTGCATCGAACTCGGTGAAAATATGCGATGTCGAATGAAATTTTCGCGAAACGTAAAAAGGCGCGTTTCTACAGCGTCGGTAGCGAGCTGTGAAGGGGCTCCTAATGCAACAATCGTTCGAAGAATCAACTCGACGATTGCGATTCCAGGTAATAATGCGACAAATGATCACAAGCTTTCTTTTTTAATTAAACTAGGACTAAACAATATTATATATATTTTTATATATAATATATATATTTACATTTATACTTATATATGTATATATATGTTTACATTTATATTTATATATGTATATATATTTACATATAAATTTACATTTAATAATTATATATTTACATTAAATTCGTTCGTCTTTGGCTGTCGCACGGCCTCGGAAATACTTTGTCGATCCTTCTTCTATTTCCATCCTTCGAATTGTTTTCAACGGACGAGTACCTTCGTCCACGGTGAGAGGATCAGTTTCCGTGTAAATTTTCCGCTGCCATGAATCACGAAAGTACCCGTATGCCCCGTCACGAGGGAGTTTCTTCTTCGGCACGATTATATTATCGTCCTATCTGAGCACGAACGGATCCCGAAATTTTCCACTACGATGATGCAGACATTGCCAACGGTGATCAATAATAGATAGAGAATTACTGTATCTCTTGAACAATAGATAATAGCAATATAATGTATATATATATATATATATATATATATATATATATACATCTGTATAATAAATATATAATAATATATATATAATAATAATAATAATAATAATAATATAATAATATTATATTATATTATATATAAATGTATAATATGTGTATAATAAGGAACGCCGAGCGTCGCGAGAGACATTTAATTCGGCAGAGATTCGATAAGGATCTCGTGTCGTTTTATTATCGTTTATTAAATAAGAGAAATTGTGATATTGTGATTTTCCGTTTACAAAACCAATGAATCGTCTAAATCACTTATCATGTGATCGCTCCATTTTATCGCTAGTGTTCATAATAGAGCAAAAGAACAAGAATAAAAATTGATTTTGTAAATGATCGACAAATGGTCGATAAATCGAGGCTTCTTGCTGGAACTTAAATTTACGATGCATCCGTAAATATTTATCGTCGAATGCGAGCCTACCTGATTGAACAATTGTACAAATTATTGTATAACTTCCACCGAATTTCTCAATTCTTCCTAGAAATTTCTGGAAAAAGTCCTTTTTTTTAAATAGCGTTCGAACAATCCGCGTGCTTGAAAATAATAAAAAATATCGCGATACTGCAAATGTTTATATAAATATTTATTTCGTGTACAGTATATATTATTATTATTTTGTGTACAGTAATTTTCACCCTAATTCGCGCTCGGATTGCACACAAAAATGGACAATTTGGGAGAATCTACCGTAATTGGTATTGTTTATTTTATTTTTCCAGGAATTTCTAGGAAGGATTGAGAAATCCGGTGAGAAATTATACAATAATTTATACAATTGTTCAATCAGGCAGGCTCGCATTCGACGATAAATATTTACGGATGCATCGTAAATTCAAGTTCAAACAAGAAATCTCGAAAGTTTCCTTTCGATTTGTCGATTATGTATTTATTTATTTATTTATTTATTTCTAATTTATTTCCATCGTTTACAGCTTTTCCAACGAACAAGGATGATCAACATTCCGTTAAATTCTTCCTTTATCCGAGCGTGCGTATCTCGCGTTAAATCGACACGAACTTACGTAACCGATTTGCTGAAGAAATAGTTGACAGGGCAAGAAATTATCACACCCGCCCTATGTATATGGGAATCCGACGGTCATTTTACGACCGCGGTAGGAAGATTCCCACCGTATGGAAAAATTTTGAACAGCGATCCGTAAGAACACAGGGCCGTATTTTTCGTAGAAACTTTCCCTAGCCCAGGCCGGGAGGCAAATAATGACTAACGCACCCCGAATCAATCTTTCCTTTCATTCAGATACTGTAACAAATTGGTTCGAAGGGAAGCGTCGGACTAATTAATCGCGAAGCCTTAATTGCTGCTCGTAGAGGGAAGTAAACAAGACAGAATAGAGTTTTCTTTCTTTTTTATTTAACTTATTTAATGCTCATCTGCTTAATAGCAATTAGCGATCATTTGTCGGGTAATATTTGTAGGGTTACATATTACAATATATATATACAATATATGTATATTATATATTACATTGTATATATATAATTGTAATATAATTGTAATATAATATTGAAATATAATATTGTAATATATACAATATTATATATAATATATACAATAGTTTCGCATTACATTTTTACATTATTTTCTTAATCCAGGCTTTTTAAGTTTCTGTACAATTTCACTAAACAATTTGGTTTCTTCTAAGTATGACATAACTTTTGCTATTTGCTTGTAATTATCCAAATATTCTTTAATGATATTGGGCATTTTTACTTTTTTTCTGATATTGTTGTACACTGGACATTCTATTAGGATATGCTTAACTGTAAGCTCAGTGTTACAGTTGTTACAAAGTGGTTTATCTGTTTCAGAGAGCATACACTCACGTGTTATTTTAGTATGCAAGTTCTTAGTCGAGATAGCACAATTTGCTTCCTTCTTGTTAAATATACTGCTGGGTTGGTAGAGAATATACTTTCTCTGAGCTCATGTAGAAGAGATGGGTTTGAATGTATCCATCCTTGGTTCCACTTATGCCAAATAGTTTTTGTTAAAAATTTCCCATTTCCATCCTCAAATGGGATTTCAATGTGTCTTAGGTCTATGTTTATTATTTCCTGGAACTTCAATATTGTGTTTACTTTCGCACAGGGTTATATTTTGGTGTCTGTAGAACTCGTTTTGCAAATCACTGGGAATAGAGTTGTATGTACACAAGCTGTNCATTTTTACTTTTTTCTGATATTGTTGTACACTGGACATTCAAATAGGATGTGCTTAACTGTAAGCTCAGTGCTACAGTTGTTACAAATTGGTTTGTCCGTTTTAGAGAGTATGTACTGATGTGTTATTTTAGTATGACTAATTCTTAGTCGAGATAGCACAATTTGCTTCCTTCTTGTTAAATATACTGCTGGGTTGGTAGAGAATATACTTTCTCTGAGCTCATGTAGAAGAGATGGGTTTGAATGTATCCATCCTTGGTTCCACTTATGCCAAATAGTTTTTGTTAAAAATTTCCCATTTCCATCCTCAAATGGGATTTCAATGTGTCTTAGGTCTATGTTTATTATTTCCTGGAACTTCAATATTGTGTTTACTTTCGCACAGGGTTATATTTTGGTGTCTGTAGAACTCGTTTTGCAAATCACTGGGAATAGAGTTGTATGTACACAAGCTGTTATTAATGTTAATTATTATATCCGCATATGTACATATATTATCAATATAATATAATATATATATATAATAATTATTATATCCACAGCTATTGTTAAACAATTAAAAATATCCGCCGGTTGTCGAACAATAACATTGTCAAATCAGAAGCCAAATTGTTCTGCGAAATGATTAAGAAAACAATGTAAAAATTTAATGCAAAACTATTTGTATATATTGCACTACATGTAACCCCACAACTGTTGTCCCATAAAAGGACGCTAATTGCTATTAAAGCAGATGCGACATTAAATAAAAATCACTTAATTAATTAAAAGAAAATTAAAAGAAAGAAAAAATGATCGAATCAACGGTTCGAAACAAACAAAAATTTCATCGGAAATCGCAGTAGAACGACGAATTCAGCTGAATCTAGACAAAACAAAAACGTACGAGACCACATTCCAAATATTATCTTTAATAATGCAGAACACAAGATTTTTAAGATATTATATCCTTTCTAAGATAATTGGTACATAACTGACAAATCCTACCAACGATCGGTATCGTTTCACACTGTACTTATAGTTAATTACAAACTAGAAGAACATAGCTGCAAGGATAATTATAGAGTTTATTTCCACGTCCCCTTTCTTCCCGTCATTACCGAGCGTCAGCGTTATGCAAGAAATCGCGAGATATATGTACGTAGTCAACAACGGGTCGCAAGCCTAGATTTCGGTTTTATTTTGCGTGTTTTGAAGCTACTATTTAGAGAGTGGTGCCAAGATACACGCTCTCAGAAGAGGATCGAAAATAACTGGGCCTTTTGCTACCTTCTGGTCACTGACCGACAAGTTTTGCGACCTCCGACAAATCGAGCTACTATAATTTCACTTTTCCAAGCAGTCTCCGTGATCGTGTAAACTGCCGTAAGGACGCCAGCGAACGAGGAAGCAATTGTTTCAGACGCGAGATCGACTTTCCGCGGCCGAACACTACTCCACGAGACGAAGCCTAAGATGTTGGAGGAACGCGTACAAAATAACCGTGTTATTTGCAGAAGCGTGTAAGCTACATTTCCAAGATTCCATTTGAATCGGACGAAATAGTAAAACAGCGGTGAACGCAATATTGTTAACTGTCATACGCGGTACTTTCGCTTGGTCGCACAGAATAGACACGGTTTCCACTGTGATGTGAAGCAAACAAAAGGGAGAATCATTGTACACATGTTCTATACTCTAATTTATTGTTTCCCCAAGCTGTTTTTTCTTTTTTTTGACACGTAGCTCATATCGTTTCAATGTTCGTATTTTCTTCTCTCGTTTAGCGCCGAAGCTGTTATAAAAACGTCTAAACTTAGCTGTGCGTGTAATATTTTAATTATAATGTGGATATGTCTCTCAGATCTCATCGACGCTTACTGAATAAATGTACCATCGCATGTTGCTCGATTGTGAAATAAATGCAATTCTAGAAATGCAATTCAGAAGCATAGAAAAGTATGTATCCGGAACTGAATTGTTTTACAAAGAAATTGTGATGAGAATTTGTAATTTCTAAAAATTAAAGGCCGATCATGGTACACGAAAAACACGGTTGATGCAAATGCTGATTGAAAATATTTTAAATGCACAATTAATACACAATCTTAGAAAGAAATAACAACAAATACGAAACAAATCAGTCTAGAATACATCGAGAAATATTTATAAAAGTAATTAGAATTGCATTTTCACCGCTCGTTTGCCTTCAAAGAACATTTGTGAAAAACAACGGACGCGACATGTGAAGAGAATCGAATTTTTTAAAGCGATGGTTACAATTATAAAAACGTTAATCTAAATCTAACAAATACATAATCTGATACAATTTATATTGTAATATTTAAACGAAAGAAGCGCATTATGAGCCATAACGTTCATAACATTTTTTAATTCACATTCATAACATCGATTTAATTGACTAACACAAATGTTACACGTACTATCGACTGGTTGTTTCGCTTAACTATGGAATCAATTGTTTTAGAAACAGAATATAGCACTATTGATTTTAATTGTGAAAACCTCACTCAGGTATTCAAATACTTTACAGGTATTGATCCTCGAACAACACAGTACAGATATCAAAAACTCTTAGTTGAAACTAATGTAAAAATTCTTATACGTCGTTGTATCAATCATTCAGGATATACATATACAAATCTTACATTTAATTATCCGTTCGCCTTCTTTACATTGTTTTGTCGTCTTAAGTATTATTCGATTATTTAAACATCCGCTAGATTGTATAAATTTTTAAAAAAATACGCATTAAAAAACGTTGATCTGCAATTTTTGGAACATGTTACTTTCTACGTTTCTTTAACCTTATACATAAATTATCTTCAAACAAGGATGCAATACAAATACCTGCAAATACCTGCGTGTATTCCTATTTACCAATATATTTCTTATGATGTGATAACAAGCAAATATTAATAAATGCAATACCCAATGACTGTGTGTGTATATATAATGTAGAAAATAAATTTGAACATTTCTTGATAAATATGGGTTTAGGGAAACCACTTCCAATGATCTTGATCTTCACGTATCGACATACAATCAGGAATCAAAATATGTATACAGGTACCTCTCGTTTCTGAAAAAATTCTATTAGTATTTATATGTTTTACTTAAAAGAATATATCTATTCCTGTCGCTATAAAAGTGTTCTTACGGAAGATATATTGTAGAATTTCTTTTTATGTATTCTCATTGAAACTTAAAGGCAGAAGCTTTTTGAAAAAAGTTCTACAAGGACCGTTATAAATAGAACCTATTAAAAAGTTCGAGAACTTTTTCCATCCCTGCGTACAATACGTGATAACTGAAGGCCTCCTTCCTGAGAGTCCTTTAAAAGTCGTCGCTCGTTGTTAGTTAAAAACTTATTAACAAAAATATATTAATGCTACTACATTGTAATCTGCCTCGATATTGTATATGTATATATATGGCCTTGACCTTGACATGCGTTGCCAAAGCTGCTCTCCTGAGTGATCTCCAAAAGTTCTAACATTCTATATGTTGAAGTTTTAAAGAAATTTTATAATTAATAATATCCAAATAGTACGAAATGAATGTTTATTCGAGACTTATTTTTAATAATTAATAACTTTTTAAGGAATATTTACCCGAATTTTTAAAAAATGAGTATAATGCATATTATATACAAAATTAAAATGACTCCGAATCATTGTTAGATAGGGCAACAACCGTAAAACACACTTCATCTGGATCACGTGCCATATAGTCTTTACAAACGCGAGCAGCATCTTCCAGTAACGTCTCTGAAGTAGTTGGACCATGAATAATAGGCCCAGGCTTACGTCCATCTAAAGATTGCGATATTCAATTATATAATTAGGACGTTTGAACAACGTTATTCAATTAATTTTCATTATGATTATAAAATATTTACCTAATTCATATAAAATGCCATTTTTTTGTACAAATGCTACAAAATGATGAAACACCGGTGCATCCTCGCTCGGTGCCTATAAAATATTCATTATCACATTTTTATAATCATTTGGTAAAAATAAATGTCATACTTCTGTTTGTCCTTCGTATGCCATTTCTTCATGTGTCTCACTGATTTCGTTCGACGACATTAAAAGTTTCCCACACTCTTCAGCAGAGAGACCTTTAGATTTATCTAAGAAATTTTTCAGGAAACCTTCCTTAAGGTTTATACTGTGAAAATAATAACATATAGTGTCCAATGTTAAACTTAGATTTTTTATGCTGCAGATCATAAACTTACGTATCTAGATTATTTGCGACACTGTGAATTAATGCAATTGTACCGCATGCATTGTGAATATATTGTTTCATGTAATAAAGCAATGGATCTACTGGATCTGAAGCAGTGGTGCCTTGTTCTTTATCGACTTCTTCAGTATCCACTAATGTATTATCACCCTGTAAAGGTATTAGTGTGTAAATACTACAGCAAATTCTACACATGTATAACCACATAATTCCAAACCTTTTTTCTCAAAGGATAAAGTAAGATAATGGCAACAACCGGCTTTGGCACGAGTGCCAATAAATCTTGCTCTAGACCATAGACGTCAACAATGCTCCATTCTTTTGGTACACCTAGTTGATGCAAGAACTACAAATATATATATACCATTATTAAATTTTGAAAAGATATAAACAATGACAAAGTCATTTCATGTATGTAAACACGTATCCTAATTTTAAAATGTGACGTGAACATTAATAACTCGTTAACGGGTATCTTAAATAATATTTACTGTACGTAACAGTTACTGTCGGAAGTTTCTATTAATAATTGAAAATCTAGATGATTTACCTTCGTCATAACCTAGAACAAAGTAAAAAAATATTTAAATTCTGTCACACGATTTATGTATTTGTAAGATTTTGTAAGGAAATTTTTACCTCAGGGTTAGACTCCAACGGTATCCAAAAAGACATGATAAAATTTCTATATTTCTTGTAAAACTGACAATAAACCGATAGGGAGTGGCGTTATAAATTCTAAGTTCAACTGACTACAATGTACATGTACATACCGGTACAATACATATGCACACGCATGTGATACCGGGACCGGAGTTTGCGTATGTATTATATGTTTAAAATTTTCATTTCATATTTTCGATGAATACGTTAATTGAAATGGATTCTGTCGTTTCATAAAAATACCCTTATGGTATCAAAATATACGTATAAACAGAATTCAATAATCAGTCCTATCGCCTGACAATCATGACAACTCGGCAAGTTTACCGAAGTCTTATCTCTTCGATACGTGAAAAACATACGTTAAAACGTTGCTTTTATTTTACTCAGAACAATTAAAAACAGAGCGATATTAAACTTCTACAATATATGTATGTACATATATAGGAATTCGTTACTGTTATAAGAATTTTATTTATAATATTTCATTTACAATATATTTCATAATACTTAAAATTTTTTAATATATAGTATATTTGTCCTGAATGCAATACCAATTTCAATATCTTTATAAATATTTATGCATTCTGTATATTTTCAGTATACATATAGTAAATGAAAAAATGGTTTCATGGATTTACATCCCATTGCTCTATGCTCTTTGCATATCATGTGGATCATCAGAAGAAGAATATGTCATAATATCGTCAAGTATAGAAAATGATGAAGTATTTCAGCATCAAAAATTGAAAGCAAATAAATATATTCCTACATGGGATAGTTTAGATAGCCGACCACTTCCAAATTGGTATGATGATGCAAAGTTTGGCATTTTTATTCATTGGGGAGTCTTCAGTGTTCCCAGTTTTGGTTCTGAATGGTTTTGGAATAATTGGCAAGGTAACGTTACATTTCAGTAATTAAAACATTTAAACATCTTTTCTTTATTGCTTAACAAGTGATCCAATTTGCTATTTTCAGATGAACAGAATGGTACCAAGTACCGCGATTTTATGAAACAAAGATATCCACCAAACTTTACATATCAGGACTTTGCTCGTGATTTTACTGCAGAATTTTTTAATGCTACAGAATGGAGTGAATTATTTCAAGCTTCAGGTGCAAAATACGTGGTATTAACGAGTAAACATCATGAAGGATATACATTGTGGCCATCAAAATATTCCTTCAGTTGGAATTCTATGGATGTAGGACCACGAAGAAACCTTATAGGTATTATGATCTGTTTGTTATACTAGTATTATAGTACTATATACTTTTTAATCAACAACGCTTATTTATATTAGGCGAATTGTCAATGGCATTGCGAAATTCAACTAATTTGAAGTTTGGTCTTTATCATTCTTTATACGAATGGTACAATCCCCTTTATTTGCATGATAAAGGAAACCGTTTTACAACACAAATTTTTGTTAAACAAAAAATAATACCTGAATTAGAAGAGTTAATAGAAAATTACAGACCAGAAGTTTTATGGTCTGATGGAGATTGGGAAGCATCTGATACTTACTGGACATCAAAAGAATTTTTATCCTGGTTATACAACGAAAGTCCTGTAAAAGATACAGTTGTTGTTAATGATAGATGGGGTGCAAACATACCATGCCATCATGGTGATTTTTATACATGTACTGATAGATATAATCCAGGCAAGTATTATAACTTGTTATTTAAAGTATTTTTAATATGTTATTTTATCGTAAATCCTTATATATATTTCAAATCATTAGGTATACTTCAATCTCATAAATGGGAAAACTGCATGACTATTGATAAAAAATCTTGGGGTTTTCGTAGAAACGCTCGTTTAGCAGAATATTTAACATTACCCGAATTGGTAAAAGAACTGGTGGTTACTGTAAGTTGTGGAGGAAATTTATTAATGAATGTGGGTCCAACAAAAGATGGTACTATTTCTCCAATTTTTGAAGAGAGATTACGTGGAATGGGTATGACAACTGCTTTATGAATACTTCTTTTTTATTTCAATGATACTAAAATATTTTCATATAAATATTACACCTTATCCAAAATAGGTGATTGGTTAGCAATAAATGGAGAGGCTATTTATAATACTAAACCATGGAGTAAACAAAATGACACTTTGACGGGCAATGTTTGGTACACCCAAAGTAAAAATGAGAAATATATTTATGCACTAATACTAGATTGGCCAAAGGATGACCTATTGTCCTTGGGATCAGTTATAACGAATGTAAACACGCAAATTTTCTTACTTGGATCTGATGAGCCACTTAAAGTAAGTAATTTTAGTAGTCTGACGAAAAGTCTCACTAGTACATGTCTTTTATAAAAAGCATAATTTTTAATTAATATTGTATACATATTAAATTTTAGTGGAAGCAGAATGGTGGAAAATTAATTATATCTATATCATCAGAATTTCATAGAGGACAACCAGCCTGGGTGTTAAAAATAAAACAAAAGTAAATTATATCAATCATAGTTTTAGAAGTTCTTCTGTTTTATTATGAACAATATTTTGTATGGTTTATATACATTATATAAAAACGATTTTGCCATTATCCGTTCTCCTTAAAGTTATTGATTTTACGAGCTTCTTCAATTACTTAATTTGAGCTACTTCGTACAAATAAGCGCCAAGTAACTTTGTCTGGAACAAAAATAAACAATTATTATACGAAACATTTTTAAGAAAGCTATCGTTCATGAAAAGGATGCTTACTCCCTCGATGTAATTGCGGACATTCAATTTTTCATTTTGAGAATGAGCTCCATCATCACCAGCACCAACTGGCAAAAGTAGTACATTTTTACCCGTTACTTCCTGGAATGTCAGAGTAACTGGGATCGAACCACCTTCTCGCGATAAGTCTGGCTCTACTTTATAAACATGTTTGGTAGCCTTGCGCCCAGCCACGTAATGTGGATGATCAGGATTTTCAGACCACGGTTTTCCAACATGACCCAAAATAACGTTCATTTTATTTGGACTACCTCTAAGAGCCCACATTTTATTCAAATATGTTGTTACTTTTTCAATAATTCCGTCAGCAGTCATATCTGGCACCAATCTTATTGAGAATTTGCCAATAACTTTTCTTGGAATGACAGTTTTTGCACCTGGTTCACTAAATGCACCTTCTATTCCATGAAGGGATAAACTGGGTTGCCTCCAACGATGAATCAAAAGCTGGATCTATTAATGCAACAAGACACATTAATGCTATATATATTATAACATTTGCACCAACATTTAATATCAAATTATTAAATTATAAAAACGTGCCTTATCTTCGTTATGAGCTAGTTTATTCGTACCAACATTTTTTTTGAATTCAGATACATCAAATTCTATTGTTTTATAATCATCCAATTCTTTTGCTGTGATCTTAGCCACTTCATCATAAATACCATCTATTAAGATTTTACCATTAACATCAACCAATGTATTCATTAAATAAATTAAGTCAGCCATTGCTTCGTGCACAGTTCCACCAAATGTACCACTGTGTAAATCTTGACTGGCACATGTTACTTCAATGTTGATGTAACAGATACCTCTTAAGCCGTACGTAATACAAGGTTTTTTAGTGCCCAACCAATAATTATCAGATATGCAGACATAATCTACACCTTCTAAAAATGTATCTTTACGTGCCCACAATAGGTCATCCAAACCTTCGCTTCCAACTTCTTCCATACCTTCGAAGACAAACTGTAATCAAAATGGGATTAGTAATGAAAAATGACAGAGTTATTGGTAACAGTTTACAATAATGAAAATACCTTCAGATTTACAGGGATATTTGCTCCAATAGCTTTATAAGCTTGCAATGCATGTATCCAACAAAGCACAGGACCTTTGTCATCCGTACTTCCACGGCCATATAATTTTTGATCTTTCTCCACAAGAACAAATGGTTCAGTATCCCAACCATCTTTCTTCATTGCCGGTTGAACGTCTAAATGTCCATATAAAAGCACAGTCTTTTTCTTTGGATCTGATCCAAGAGTTCCTAACAATACTGGTGGCAGTGGTATTTGATCTCCATTTGGAAGAGTTTGTTTCCCTACATCTGCTAATTCCGTCGTAGCTCCAAGATCTTTTAGTCTAACTTCCGCCCATTTCATCATTCTAATTGTCTCATCTCTATGATCTGGCCATGCAGAAACCGATTTTATGGCCACTGCTTCACGCAGATTATTTATATATTCCGTTTTATGACTGTCGATGTAACTAGAAATTAAAAATAAAGAATTCAAATTTAAACATAAGACAAAACAGAATTTCATTGTTGAGTCGTTGTTTCATCGGTAGTGGATTAAATTTGAAGAAAACGTTTACGTTACATAAAAATAATACATATTGCTTAACCGTTCGAGACCCAAGCAGCGCGTTCGCGCTGTTTAGATTTTGTGTCGAGAATCACAGAGTCTGTCGAAGTAACGCGCTCAACTTTATTGATGCACGTACACCGAATAGCTGTTTTTTTTTTTAATGTAAATAATACAACTAACACATTTTGTGTTTCATTGTTATCTTCTCAATAATTTAAATTGAACAAAACTTGAAATATAAGTACGCATATTAAGACAAGCGCTATCGCGCTGTTCGGCATATTTCGACCGTGTTTCTCCAATGACCCCTGTGACTCGAACGATTAAATAAATACATACCTGAACAAATTGTTCAAAGTTGATGGAAGTTCTGAAGCCATTTCTCTTTTCTTTGACCGGGTGTGGTCAATTTGTATAAAAGATTGTTCTACCAGCGATGTATTTAGCAATATGGAAATGTATTCTGCAAACGCAGAAATATAGACAATGGCTAATCTTATCACTCGTTCAAGAGGCGTACCCAACAACCTATCCTTCCGATAAAGCCAGGTATATATGTACAATTGTACACAATACACACGTATGTAATCAACTCTTTATTGGTGGATTTTGTATCTCGGCAGGAATGTACACCCTTCTGTACAGTAACCGGTCCTACTCTTGCGCAACTCCAGGCCACAACTTGATCCGTAAGCTCGGTTCGGTATAGAAATTTTCTTTGCTCTGATTAGTTCGCGATTCTCTGCTGAGACAGGATCCACTGTGGATTAAATGCTCAGTGAAATGGTGGGGATGTACGCGCCACTTTAAAGAATAAGAAAAACGTGGTCTCATTACTAGGTCTCATTACTGTACTTATGTTACAACCGCAGGAGTGTTCCTTCAAATACAAATACATACATAACTACGTAAACGATATGAAATAACAATGTAAAATTTGTTCCTTCATCACAATGATTAAGTGAAATGTTTGTAAGTTTCCATTGTTCTATACATACTTTTGCCACCTGTTTATTGACATTATCGTACTTCCCTGCGAAAACGATGTCATTTTTGTTCACGTAAGTTGATAATTAACCCTAAGAATATTTATTGTACAATGCAACAGGGTTAGGGAAACACTCGTGAATATATACATATATGTTATTTTACTTTTTTTAAGTCTTAGATAGCAAGTAGAAAAGGTTGTAAAATTGAACATTAGACAAAGTTGATTTGTCTTCAAAGTTCATTGCTAATGATACTTGAACACATAACATGTAAATACGATGTCGTAATATTTATTACATACACAAAGTTGTAATATCACACTAAAAAAAATGTAATGCTATGATACTGAATTCAATTTATTGGTCATATTTTGTTTACATCTTCACATTGAAGACGAAGCTCCAGTTTTCAGTACAAGAGCTTGTAGCTCATTAATATCTTTTTCGAACCTAGAAAAAGGATGGTATATTATTGATTGTAATACAGTTTAAGAATTAATAGCTAGTATTGAACATTATACCTTTTGTGACAATCTTTAACAATACCAAAGGTATTCATGAAATCTTTAATATTATCATTAATAATTTGATAAGATTTGTTATGAGATTCAATTATATCTACAATAGACTTTAAAATGCCACAGCAGGATTTTATGATATCAGAAGATTGTTCCCATTCTTCGGGTGTCCTGGCAAGAGCTATATTCTCACAGCATAATACATCATATTGATGTAAAAGAATGTTTAGTTGAGATAGAGCATTTTCCACTTGCTTAAAATTTTCATATTCTGTAATTAAATTGTCTCATACAGCTCCAAAATATTTTATTTACATAAATGTTTATCAACGTTACTTACTAATAGTATTTTTTATATTCAAGATTTGTAACTCTACGTAATTCTGTGAATTCTTAATTCGATGAATTATTGTTTTTTCTCTGATTTTTAATTGAAATAATTTCTGCTTATTTAAATCAAGTTCCTTGATCATTGTTGCTAGTTGCTTTATTATAGATCTTTCCATAAACTCCATCCTTTCGTTCAATATTGTTTCCAGCGTTAGTCTTGGTATATATTTGTCGCATACAAATTTAGTTTCTGCAAACTTCTGATCACTTCTAAGAATTCTGGATCAGGATAACAGTAATCTAGCATATCTAGATCAATGAAGTAATATAAATGCTTCATATATTCTACATGTAGATACATTTTATTAAGAAATTTAAAAAAAAGAATGAAATTCTTTACCTCGTTCTGGGTCAATTTCGGGTAAGTTCTTTATTCCTCTTCTTTTGTTATAATGTGCTAAAATTTTCTTATACATTTTTCAGTAAAAACAATTCTTTGTCTTCTACTGCAGTGTTTGCTATTGTTGTAATGTGTATATCAATACTATTGTTAGTAAGCACGTGTAATCAATGTACAGAAAATGTTAAAAAAAGGAATTTCAGATTGGAAATCATAGAAGAGTTTTGAATTCCGTATTACATCACCTCTAAATTACTTCTGCGAAACTGTTCGATCTTATTAACCCTCTACTGATGACAACATGTACATGTTGCTGTTCAAAATTTCAAAATAGCGCCATTCCACTTAGTAGCGAAACACTGAAACTACTAGGAATCTGATTTTCACTAATACATAATTTGAGCAGTTTGCTACTTCGTGAAGTAGCGCTGTATGAAGGCTTGAGTCAGTGTTTCCATTTGCCAACGTCATAGTCCTAATAATGAAGAACAAATTTTCGAATCATCGTGAGCGTGAATTAAGCCTGGAGAATCGTACTTTAGTAATAGACATATTTTGCTTTGTAGAGAAATGTGAAGTCACTTCGAGAAATCCCGACCAATACAATTCGAAGAGAAATAATTTAATTATGACAAATTCTTCGAAGCAATATTTCAATAACTATAATCCCGTGAAGATTTTTAAACCGATAAGAGCTTCATATTTTACGTAAAAACAATTCGTATCCTAAGCGTGATACCTCGCCTATGCTAACATTTTGAGCATTTTTCCCGATGTGTAGTGACGCTATTTTTATACTTTAATCGACAAATAATTCGTATAAAAATTTAAATTGTATCTTACAACAAAAGTATTCAAGTACGCTGAACAAACCAAACTCTACCGTATTATCTGAGAAAAGCAAATACACCGATACCAAGTTCTACATTCTGTTTTGCCATAAACATTTTTCAGAGAGAATCGACTATAAAATATTAGAATATTTGTAAAGAGACTTAATAGATTTCTAATAAAAAGATAGGATTGAATAAGTTGCCAGCGTTTTAAGACATCTTGTGGCCCTGAAAAGGGCCAATTTTGTTTTTCGGTTGAGCTCCAATACGCTTATGCCTTCTTCTCGGTCTTTTTCGGCAAAAGTACTGCTTGGATGTTCGGAAGGACACCTCCTTGAGCGATGGTAACGCCGGACAAAAGTTTGTTCAGCTCTTCGTCGTTTCTGATTGCAAGTTGTAAATGTCGCGGAATAATTCTGGTCTTCTTGTTGTCACGCGCCGCGTTTCCCGCCAATTCCAGAACCTCAGCGGCCAAATACTCCATAACGGCAGCCAAGTAAACGGGAGCCCCGGCGCCAACTCTTTCTGCGTAGTTTCCTTTTCTCAGAAGCCTGTGGATACGGCCCACAGGGAATTGCAGTCCAGCCCTATTGGAGCGGGATTTCGCCTTCGCTTTAGCTTTTCCACCTTTGCCACGGCCAGACATTTTTCAGCGGTGTCGTTGAATCTCGAAGAAACAAAGTAACAGCACTCTTAACCCGTTCGCCTCGACGATCGGAACAATTTTAATTTTTTAATGGCAACGTGCTTCCTATTTATACTCTTTCTCGGACCCGTGCTCCGACCAATGGGCGACGCGCTTGATTCTGATTGGCGCGAACCGTACAGATGGTCTGCTGCCAGATGCAGGATCATTCTTTTGCACACGAGCTGTGCATTGCATATTATATGCACATTCTTTTGTATTAATCAATTATATTTTATTGTATTAATTTAATGACAACGTACTTAAATGATTTATTTCTTCTCAAACTTTCAGATTATAGGGAAAATTGAAATGTATTCTTGACAAATTATGATTATGAATAAAATACGCTAACGATAATTAAAATATTAAATATTATGAAACTGAGAATAATATAACTAACAATAGATTCACAATAGTACATAGGATGGAAGGACCAGTGAATAGGTGATCGAACCGGGAAACAGGGTTCAGTGATTAAATAAAAAATGTTCTACGATAGAGAATATATTCTAAAAGATTGTTTCGCGCCAAAGCGCAGATACAGACAGATTCTGTCTCCGGTCTTTTCGACGTGGAAAAATGTTTCTGGAAAAAGTAGGAAAGTCTCAAGTGGACCTGTCCAAAGCGCATCCTCGCATTTCGTTCCGCCTAAGCGAAAAAATATAACATATTATAACATAACCTCGGCGGGCATCCCGAAGAGGGTAAGTGTTAGAGAACGTCAAATTGCTTACATTACAAATATCGTAAAATATTGAACGATATAGCCTAAACCTGAATCCGACTTGTAAAAGTTTGTATATTTTAATGCAATTTATATTATCAGTATGTACCAGAGAGAGTTTTGACGTATTCCAATATTTAAAAAAAAAAATAAATTTTGTATCCTATTATTTTATAGTGATACTGTTTATCGTCTTTCATATATGTATGTATATAAATAAATAAAACGTTAATATTACTAACTCTCTCTCTCTGTATCTATTTAAAGGAAGGGAATTACATTTTGATAATGTATTATTTCATTGCAATTTGAACAGGATATGATTGGATATCGTAAAGCTGAAATTTAGAAATTGAATGCACATTAGCCTGTATACGTGTCTGGACGTGTTCTACGAAATCAATCCCATTGTCCGAAGGTAACGGTAGCACCGCTCCGCCGCACCAATGAGGTGCCAGGAACGCCAGCTGCGTTCTGATTGGTGCGCTGGAAGGGCCCCGTTTTCGTTATATAAAGACCGCGTTTGGCGGGGAACGCTCATTCTCTGTTCTGCAGTCGTCGATTGTAGTGAACTCTCTCGTTTGAATTTCTGATTCATAAGTACACCGTGACGTCATTATGCCGCCAAAAGTAAGTGGGAAAGCTGTGAAGAAAGCCGGCAAGGCTCAGAAGAATATCAACAAGGCTGACAAAAAGAAGAAAAGGAAGAGGAAGGAAAGCTACGCTATTTACATCTATAAAGTATTGAAACAAGTACACCCTGACACCGGTGTCTCCAGTAAGGCGATGAGCATCATGAACAGTTTTGTTAACGATGTGTTTGAACGCATCGCCGCCGAAGCATCCAGACTGGCTCATTATAACAAACGCTCGACCATCACCTCCCGGGAAATTCAGACCGCGGTCAGGCTTTTACTCCCTGGTGAGTTGGCTAAGCACGCCGTCAGCGAGGGTACCAAGGCAGTCACTAAATACACCAGCTCGAAATAAGCAAAATTATTTTGCTGGAACAACAATCGGTCCTTTTCAGGACCAACAAATATTCATACGTTGGAACTACATCCTCTAACAACTAACTGATACGACTTGTTTTAACAACAATTGTGTACAAATTATGCAGAAAGTAATTTATCGTTTTTAATAAGACTTAATGATAGAAGTATTGACATTAACTACATCCTCTAACAACTAACTGATACGACTCGTTTTAACAACAATTGTGTGAAAATTGTGCAGAAAGTAATTTATCCTTTTTAACCGTTTGGCTGCTGACGTATTTTTTCGGACATATGCCAAAACTGCGGCACTGATTGCGCGTGTATGGGAAAATATGTAAAACACTTTTCATACAATAAACTCACTNAAAAAAAAAAATAAATTTTGTATCCTATTATTTTATAGTGATACTGTTTATCGTCTTTCATATATGTATGTATATAAATAAATAAAACGTTAATATTACTAACTCTCTCTCTCTGTATCTATTTAAAGGAAGGGAATTACATTTTGATAATGTATTATTTCATTGCAATTTGAACAGGATATGATTGGATATCGTAAAGCTGAAATTTAGAAATTGAATGCACATTAGCCTGTATACGTGTCTGGACGTGTTCTACGAAATCAATCCCATTGTCCGAAGGTAACGGTAGCACCGCTCCGCCGCACCAATGAGGTGCCAGGAACGCCAGCTGCGTTCTGATTGGTGCGCTGGAAGGGCCCCGTTTTCGTTATATAAAGACCGCGTTTGGCGGGGAACGCTCATTCTCTGTTCTGCAGTCGTCGATTGTAGTGAACTCTCTCGTTTGAATTTCTGATTCATAAGTACACCGTGACGTCATTATGCCGCCAAAAGTAAGTGGGAAAGCTGTGAAGAAAGCCGGCAAGGCTCAGAAGAATATCAACAAGGCTGACAAAAAGAAGAAAAGGAAGAGGAAGGAAAGCTACGCTATTTACATCTATAAAGTATTGAAACAAGTACACCCTGACACCGGTGTCTCCAGTAAGGCGATGAGCATCATGAACAGTTTTGTTAACGATGTGTTTGAACGCATCGCCGCCGAAGCATCCAGACTGGCTCATTATAACAAACGCTCGACCATCACCTCCCGGGAAATTCAGACCGCGGTCAGGCTTTTACTCCCTGGTGAGTTGGCTAAGCACGCCGTCAGCGAGGGTACCAAGGCAGTCACTAAATACACCAGCTCGAAATAAGCAAAATTATTTTGCTGGAACAACAATCGGTCCTTTTCAGGACCAACAAATATTCATACGTTGGAACTACATCCTCTAACAACTAACTGATACGACTTGTTTTAACAACAATTGTGTACAAATTATGCAGAAAGTAATTTATCGTTTTTAATAAGACTTAATGATAGAAGTATTGACATTAACTACATCCTCTAACAACTAACTGATACGACTCGTTTTAACAACAATTGTGTGAAAATTGTGCAGAAAGTAATTTATCCTTTTTAACCGTTTGGCTGCTGACGTATTTTTTCGGACATATGCCAAAACTGCGGCACTGATTGCGCGTGTATGGGAAAATATGTAAAACACTTTTCATACAATAAACTCACTTGTATCGCTTTGCAACAAAAATTGAAAAATACCACTTATTTACATAAATTTGTTTTAATTAATTTTGCGAATAGAATTGGTAATAAGCACAAATTCTAGTGATTTAGAGCAGCGTTATTACGCTCTTCGCAGCTTGGCATAAAAAAAAAACAGGAGCGCTATCGCGCTCCTCGCATTTTTGGCACAACATAAGAATAGCGCAATAGCGCTCCTCAGCAGTCAAACGGTTAATAAGACTTATTGATAGAAGTATTGACATTGAATAGTATTATATCTATTCTATAAATTTAATATAAAACGAAGATTCTATACGAAGTGACTTTCTGTAATATGCGTAAAAATTCTTTGTCTTATAAAATATTTCACTGAATTAAAAAGGTTGAACCATGTTGCAATTCACGTATACGACGATTTTATTATGAAACGAACGAACTCCTGTGTACAATGTAAAAAATACTAGAACAAATGCAATTTCGCTTATTTACATTTTGCTTTACTTAATGTCAAAGATCTCTCCATAGAATAACTTGATCCGTTCTGTTTCATCGATTTATACAATTTTATAAAACATCGTTTGCTCGACGAATTGCCGATAATTTTTACATACGATTTAAAACGCTCTGAATCGATCTGAGTTCCGTTATCAATTTTTGTCCATGAGGTTGATTGTATAGGGTGGTCAAGCATTTCGAGATTACATCTTGACACTTTGTGATGATTTTTCGCCTATAATAATGGCAATTACTTAATGATCGTGTAACGTAATGTAAATAGGAGTAACTATCAAAATGTGACAAAGAGTTAGTTTACCTGATCAAGTTGTTTGTTATATTAGAATGTTGAATGAAATAGTTAACCAAATTTGCAGTTGACTGTATTAGATGGAACTCGTTTCCTTCATTTAACCAGGTTCGAGTGTCCTTTCCAATCATTCTAACAGATAAACGAAAATGAAACGAAAATTGTTTAAAATGTGAGTCAATAATATATTTACTTTCTAATATAAACAGGACTTACTTGTAAATATCCAGAAGATCTTCCATTGAAATTCCTAGTTGTAGGAATCCAGATATGATCCTGGCATTTGATACGTTCAATTTACATGCTTTTATTTCTAACTGCTTTATTAGGAAATCTAATAAATTGTTAAACCAACGTTAATAATTGTCTTTTTAAAAAAAATTAAATACAAAAATTCATAATTACCAACTGGGAAACAATGCGGAGATCCGGAATACTCCTCTCCAAGAGATATAATTTTGCTCATTAAAATTGCCATTTTGTCTTCTGCATTAGATGCATCTTTTAATTCTACAAAATAGATAATTGCAATAACTTTTTTGTTTCGTTTAATGTACTAAAATGATATAGACACGCAATATGCAATGAATACCATTGTTGATGATATTGGTCCAAATTTCTTGAATCAGCATTGCATCTTGATGACCGGAGCAATTAATTATGGCCAATTTGCATTCCCATAATTGTAGAGAATCCGCATACTTTTCATACAGCTATGATTGTCAGAAATCAGTAATAAATGCGAAGTAAAGATTTTAAGGATAAGATTACACAGAAAAAATTGCAATGTACCTTCGTGATATCGAGTAATGAATAATTTAATGCTCTAAATGTCTCTTCGTTCAGTCGATCCGTCAAGTGCTGATTATAAACCGTATCTAATATCTGTAACATAATAGAAATGTATTCTTCCGAATAAGTCTGTCTTAATAGCAACTTTATATCTAACAATTTTTACCTGCTGTTGTATTCGCGCCACTTCCACCTTGTCTTCTAATTCGCGCAAGAAAACTCCAAGATATGGAGCATATCCAGCCTGATCACTTCTCATGCAAACAACTGCACGAGCTAAGTATTCGACCCTTTGTGCCAATGGTATATTAGATCTGCACAAAGAATCGCATACTATACGTTAATAATAACGCTTAGGTTTCTACTGTTCTATACACGAGCTACAGAGTAGTACATACTCTTTAGATGCCAGAGAGTCCAGGATCTTGGCCGCGGCGGCATGATTTTTATTTCTCTCGTAAAACTGCCAGAGCAAGTCGGGTGCATTGACACGCGTCAGATAAGCTTCCAACGATGGAGCTGCAAGCGCCACCAATTCCCCATGGAGCCTCTGTTGTATCATCCAAGCGTACACTGAAACGTGGAGGGTTTCGCATGGAGAATGCAACGCGTCATTTATGATGTCGTGCAACTGAAACATATGAAGATATTAATAAAAGGAAAATTCAGCAGACGTTTCCCTCAAATGTTAAAGAATCACGGCTTACTATTTTTTTCGCTGGAGCAACGGCCACTGCTGAAGCATTTGGAGAAAGAGGTCCTGGTTTCTTCGGTATGGTGGGCGTTAATGGATTTGAAATACTTTGATTATGGAGATGATCCAATAACGTAATAAATTCTTTATAAATCTCCATCCTGTGTATTGAATAAAAATCACGTTGATTATGTGCGTGTTGTTACGGCGACAATAAAATTATTTTTGTTTAATAGTAAATACCTCTTCATGTAAGCGAATCGACCTTCTTGGTCTTCGTTTGGTTCGTTGTTTTTGTAATAGTGTAACGCGGCGTTATTAGGGTCCACTCTGTCTGCACAGCAGAGACATAGCTCAAGCACACCCGTATAAAATTGACACGCGATGAATTGTTGGCAAACGGCGCTTAAATTTAATCTAGGCGCCACTTCCTTGCACAGCTACCGGACACAAAAAGAAAAAGAAAATAACATACACAATGCATACAATATACACAGATATAAATTGTTGTTTACCTTCAAAGCAGATTGCAAATAACACTCTTTCTCTTCGGGGTTTGTACAACTTTTCGCTTTCAAAATGATTTCGTTAGCCTGTAATTTATCGAGTTCATAAAATTACGATCACATTCTTATTAATTGTAACTTGAGAACTTCGTTCTTCTATACCTTAGAACAAACTGCATCTTCGCTTCGGTATAAATTGGGACAAACTTCTCGCAACCTTTGACTAACAATATCAACGGACGCATTGTCTCCGAGATAACTGTTAGAGATATTAATAAAAGTTAGCAAGAAAAATATATTTTTACGTTACATTTAATCTACTTACCTGTCGATAAGGTGAATAATTAATAACGAAGAAATTTCGTGTCCAATAAGGATCAGATCTCTGAAGGTGGCCGTAGAAAACTGATTAATTTGGTCCTACAAATAAAATTCCAAAACATAAATACTATTCATTAACTATACATTAAAAAGTATATAATAATGGATTAAGTTGGCAATTTAACCTTTGATAAACAATTGACAATATTATTTAAATGGTTTTCACATAAGATCTTCCAAAGTTCTAGGACTTCGCAAGCATGAATAATGAAAATTTTTAATGCTGCTAAAGAATTTCTTTCCTCAACTATCGGTTCTTGGAAATGACTAGATACAGTCGCTTCAAATCCATCGGTTATATTTCTGCTGGTATTAGGTCTGGAAGAAATATGCTCTAATCCAGGAACGTTAACTTAAAAATTATTAACGATAGAATTCAAACTAACATGCACGATACATACTGTTTAGTAATATGAGTGTTTTTGTTGAGGAATGACCTTAATGCTTGCAAAAGTCCTAAAATCCAACTGATTTGTCTTGCTGGAATAGTACTAGAGATCTGAAATGATTAAACACGTAACGCCGTAAGGACATAAGCTAATCATTCGTTTTTGAATTTATTTAATATTAACATTACGAGCAATTATATTCGTTGTTGCAGTTGTTGTCACTTTACCTCAATCTTGTTATTTATAGTTTCTTGTTTAATACAACGCATGCTCCACACAGGGCGAAGTATTCTCCCCACGTACAAATATAAGCCATTGTGCTTCGCGGAGAAATGTTGCAATGGAATGTCTGTATTAAGTCCTGCAGGCACATGTGGCCGAAAACCTTGATATCTCATATCATAATTAGGAACTCTGGGTGTCGATGTGCGTATGTCCACTACGAAGTTTATACATTTTATAGTAACGAAGAGAAAATGTAAGATTTATATATTATTATTATATATATTATATATATTTATTATTATATATTTATATTATAAACGTACCTGTATTCATATTAGCGAAACTGCCATGTACATCAATTCCAGGTCCAACTCCGGTTACCACCCTGTGACTACCATACAAGAAGAATGCTCTCGTTGCCCATTCCGCTAACTATACATTATAAAATAGCATCGAGTGTTTTTATTTAATGTAAAATGATATCAAATTCAATCATATATTCGAATCTTTAAATCGAATTACCTCAGCATTCTGAGAACTTTCAAGCGTGGCTAAAATGAGGCAGGTGGCGCACGCCTGATCCAACGATTGCGATTGAAAGTATGCTCGAACCGCTTCTGTATCCGGTCCACGTTGTTCCAAAAGAAGTTGCTTCAAAATATCTACAGGACGAACTTGCACGAAAATAATTGCGCCCTGTACATGTTAAAAAATATAAATAGCAAACAGATTGAATTATCGGATTAATTCAAAAACATTTATCCACTTTATACCTGAGATGTTAAGAAGATAAACTTTCTCGGAGCTTCCATGTGCTGCCTCACGAGAAGGGGCGGCTCCCCTTGGGAGCTACTTTGCTTCTCGATCCGAATAGCTGGTTCAACAAGGATTTCTGACATCGCCCACACTGGACTATCAAGAGACAGAGGACTTTGAGTTTCGGCTAAATAATTTGTAAATGGATAAGCATCATTACTTAAGCACAAAGCTGTTTCTGTATCCCCATCGCATACGAGAATCAGTGTTCCTGCAATAAAAATGTTGTATTTTATTTATTATGTTCATTTAGACGTTTATACGGACAGTTTTATCACAGTACCTTTTCTGTAATGTGCCATTTGAACTTTCCTGGGTCTCATTACAGTAGCATTAGCAGCATATCCTGGTGGTAATCTAACGTGTATTAATTGCAGGCCTTGGGGTCTACTTGTCGGATTAGTCACGGAAGTACAACTAAAGTAAAATCGTGTTCCCGTAGCTGCAACTACAACTAAATTTAAGTGCACTGATTCGGATTCTGTTATAGCAGATATGCTCACCAATGGTCGGAAGTTATTGCTATCAAGAGTTCTAAAATATACAAATAAAACTGTTTAGTTTACTTCTAATATGTATGTTGCACAACTTATCATTATGTACATACTTAACAACGTGAACGGCATTTTGTACTAAAGAAGCCTGTGACAAAGACGCAACTTTGGATGCGCCATCGTTATCAATATCCCAAACTGTAATTGTTCCTTTGTCACCAAGAGTGTATAAAATATTACGTGAATCGTCCACAGAGATTTGTATTATTGTTTCTTCTTCTGATAAAGCTATAGTGATAAAGGATGGCACTAAGAATGATAGTGGACCCTCTGAATGATTAATTTTCTTACAACGTTTTCCAAACCAACTTATTTGTGCCTGTACAATGAATAATTTGATCAATATGTAATTAATTGTTGCACTACTCTTATTCATTGTAACCTTTACATTCATTTAAATATTTATACCTGATAATATATTTCATACAAAGAACCATTTCTACCACCAAGGAAAATTCTGCCACTGTTGCTGTTTGCAATTACTGTAATTCCTATACCATCTGTTGTCACTGTGAAGATTGGTTCAGGAACCAACTGCATTTCAGGCGATGTTCCTGTAGAAGAGTCAGAGACAATAAATAATAAAACAGAAAGAGTTTTAAAATAATGAAGAATCTGTAATACCTTCAGAATGTTCTGTTAATATTACTCCCAGAATAGTTATCTCCACCATAGTTGTAAGGACCAATAAATATTTTACATGAGGCCGAAACACGCCTGGTTTAGGTTTAACCAAACCCACACTTACTATAGTCTCGTTTAACCCATCAAAATATGCAACATCGGTCCTAAAAAAACATTATGCTAACAATTTGTTATTTCATATTTGTGTAGAATATACACAAATGTGTATATATATAAAAATAAGACTTACTCATTTTCATATGACCAAACATATATGTCGCTATCAATTGTAAGCCAAGCTTTTGAAATTTCTGTAAACAAGCCCATCATACAATGACATTGAACATCTAAATAAATATTGAGGAATATAACATTATACAAAAAAAAATAAAAATGTTTAAACATTTTGAAGGATACGATCGAAGTGTTCCATTACTTCAGATGGTAATGAAATTTTGCTGTGCAATTTCATTTGATTTATGTTAGAAAAACACATTGACATTCCATGTAAGTTGGGATAATCGTTGTCATCAAGTCCACTAACAGTCGGTCCACCTATGAAATAAAATATATATATATTTTATTTGGAAACAAAAATATGTGATAAAACTATTAATAATATAAATTACCTTGTACATTATATCTCATGAGATTAATTAAAGAAGGAAAATTGCTATCTGCTGTAATATGAGCATCTACAACTTTTCCTGCCATTTCCAGAGCATCTAAATGTATTTTAAGTGGTTCCATTTCTGTGAGAGTCATGTTTACACTAAATAAAAAGAGAAATATATTTGAGAAATTTGTATTTTTGTCTTATAATGATGAAATAACTTACATTCGATATAATATGTATACACATACCTGAATTCTATTTAATTTCTAATGTATACTGGTCTCAAAACAAACTTACAATATAAGTACAAAATAAATATCTTCTGTTGATAATATACAACAACCAGGAAATGAAGAAACTAAATAAGTTTCTTACACAATTATTCTTAATTTAGTAACTAGCTGTTTCATTTCTATTTATAACGAATTATTAATGACACTAACTTTTTAAATTTTTCACTGTAATACCGTAGTTGAAGGTTAGTTTTATTTATGTCAGTAAAACTCGAACAATACTGAAAACCACGCAATAGCATGAACAATTTTTTAAATATAATAACAGTAAACAAATTAAAATGTATATGATCGTAATATAAAACACTTACAAAAATGTATTACAACTGTTTTAATGCTATCGGCGCGACAAAAAGTTTCACTCACGAGGTTCGCGCTTCTCGCGCCAATATGTACATGTATGTACACATTGTACAATATATTAGGCATGCGTAGTATTCATTAATTTCATTGGTCTTAATTTATCTTATAGATAATGGTGTACTTATGATTTGAATTCAAAAAGTGGTGGTTTGGATGCTTATCTTTAAATGTGACAGGTATACCGTTAAAGCATTATAAATTACAACAACGAAATTAATTTATTGTTACTATTATTCGATATCGATAGGTTCATTCGTACTTCGAGTTATGCACGTTCATTTATTTAATGATATGTACCAATAATGGATATTTCAATATTTTTCCTTTCATTAAGTTCTTTTACTGTTGCCGGTATTACTAATAGTTCTTTAATGTTGCTGTATTATTGTAATGCTTCAACAATATTGAAATAATTTTATCGTAGGAGACATATCGAACACTGTACAAAATCTTTATTGCGAGCTTGGATTAAAAAATGACAATTTATGTCCCATCGATGGTAGTTGGACTCGTTGGAGTTTATGGAGTTCTTGTTCCGGAAAATGTGGCTACAAAGGCAAGAGAAGTAGACATCGTACATGTAATAATCCATCACCTTCGAATAATGGTAGTCCCTGTGTTGGTCCTAATTATCAAATTGAAACTTGTCAAATTATTGGTAATTATGTACAAAAAAACACTACAAATTTTTTCAGTTCTTTGGCATAGTTTATTTAAAGGTGTTTTTAGGATGTACGATGAAGGATTACGAAGATGTTGTATATAATCATCCGATACGCATAGAAGAAATGAAAGTTGTACAGCGAATACATAAAAAGTTGCCTGCTCTAATTGAATTATGTTTTTCTGTTGATTGTATGTATTTCATTGTCAAGAAAATTCTTGGGAGCAATGCAGTAAGAAATGAAACTACATTCTTTATATTATCACGACAATATAAATATTTTAAAAGAATATTTAACAATATTATTAAATGTTTTCATGAAGATGCAATATTGGAATGCAATGAACTGTGTTAAATACGATGTTGGATGTCCAAGTAAATGAACATATGTTAAATAGGGATGAACTATCATTGTATTATACATGAACGATATTATATGTAATTTCTATGTAGACCCTGGAGGCTGGAGTACTTGGGGGGTATGGTCACCATGCACTGCAGCATGTGGAAGAGGTAAAAAATATCGAACAAGAATTTGTAACAGTCCAGTTCCTTCGCATCTTGAATTAATGTGCAACAATTCAGCCTTGGAAATGGACAGCTGCGTGGGATTTAACTGCAAAAAGCACTCAAGTACATTGAATGGACTTTAAGGATAACATAAACATTTTGCTATTAACTGATATCTTAATAGTGGGAACTTGGACTAATTGGAGCAACTGGAACACATGCAGTGTACAATGTGGCAATGGTATTAAAATAAGAAAACGATCATGCTTAAAAATGCAAAATGCACAGGAAACATCATGTAAAGGTCCAATTAAGGAGATAAATGCTTGTGCGATCAGCAACTGTTCAAGTAAAAACTACAAAGCATAATGTATAAAAATGAGATTAAAAAAAAAAATTTTTTCTATAAAATTGTGGATTCTTTTTTTATTAGTAAATGGACGATGGTCAGCATGGACACATTGGACACCATGTTCATCAAATTGTGGTATAGGTACACAGTTCAGAAATCGCATGTGTAACAATCCATCTCCAAGTGGTAATGGTGATCCATGTTCTGGTTCTGTTTCTGAAGTTCGCCAATGTTTCAGTAAACCATGCATTGGTATGCATACTGTTAATCAAAATGATATTGTTAGATGCAATAAAACAATTTTAATTTACAGTTAAATCGCACGAAGTAGCGCATTTTATGGAGAAAAGTAGTCTTCTGTATTCAACAAATGGAAGACCTTCACGTTTGCTTCATATGTATTTAAGATTTTTACCATTGACACCGTTTGGTGTGCTCATTCATCGATATGAAAATAATTGCCGAGAATTATCCTGCAATTATGTTAAATTATCGTTGCATAACGGAAAAGTAGTACTCGTGTCTCAAATATCTGGTTGTACAATGGGCTTAGTTCACGAAGATAAAATAGAAGTACGTCAGAGATGTTTTTCTATTATTTAATATTTTATAATTTATATAAGATTTTGTATAGATTGGAGAATGGCATGTAGTGTTTGCAGTAATATGTGGATCACGCGGTATTTTACGTGTTAACAATGGTTTACACAAAGCTACTACTTTTTCATGTATTCCGACATCGTATAATTTGGATCATATTATGAAAGTTGGAGAAGTATTTCAAGGTCAAATTCAAGAAATAATTATTAACTTCGAATCTATCCTACTTTCTATACCAAAGGTGTAGTAATTATCGTTGGCGGATTATATCTTGAATAATTTAATATTTTTAAAATATACAATGTAATTTAGGATAAACACGATCGAAAGCATAAAATTGTTCCTTCGAATATTATTAACGTACAATATTCATTGGGAGATGACGAGGAAGCTTTCATATCTGTTGGTTTAACAGAATCGGTTACAGTTCCATGCCCAAAGGATATGGAATCTTGGCAAGTAAGGACAATTTCGTAAAGTTTAGCTTAAGTAATAATGCTTAAATACTGTAATGCAGATCACAATGGCGATAAAAGTAGAAAATATAAATGGCGTTGTGACAATCATACCAGACGATTTATCCAATAAGTACATCCTACTATTGCTAGAAGAGGGAAGAGTTAAACTTAGATTTCATCAGGGAGCGACTCATGTTGCAACTGAAAGTACAGAACACATTTCAATAGGAGAATGGTTCGAAGTAATGCTGGTACAAGATGGTAAAAAATTATACATGCAAATTAATGGAAATGAGAAAAGATATGTACCTTTAATTTCGGAAAGGATGATTACAGTTGCAACTAGTATATTCATAGGAGCTATACGCGACGAAATACGGGTAAATGTTTTACAGAGATTAAGAGATCAGATTCTTATAGGATCATCACGATAGATTTCACAATAGGAGAAGATATGTCCTAAATGTGCAGATATACCACAAATGAGCTTTACGCTTGGACATCTTAATATAGATGGAAATCAAATAGATCTGTTATCGTTACCAGTTTTAGAAACGACCAGTAAAAGTTACACAAGCCGCACTATTAGTTTATCCGGTAATAATTATTAATCGATTATATCTACGTTGTATGTAATATATATTTGAAATTTTGTTATAATTTATAGATTACTATGAAGAAATTCCCCTCTTAATAGGTCAAGAACTTGAGTTATCATGTTTCTATGATAAAATACCCCGTGAGAAAGGATATCTTGCACCTTCTAAAAGAACATACGTTGTATGGTTATTAATGGACAAATTATTGCAGTCCTATGGAAATAGGTAAAGCAATTCGATACCTATTTCGTAGATCTTTCTGTAACAATTTATTCTTCGTTGTCCAGTGACTTTTTTCACTTGAAAGATAATGGTCGTGTCAGTACCATCACTATTGCAAGTTATATTTCCAGAGAAGATGTTGAAAACTTTTACTCTTGTCATATTCACCGCTACAAAAACAAATCTTATACAACCTTAGATCGAGCTTCTTTCACATTTGGAATTACTGTAATAGATAAAAATACAGGTAAATGTGATATTATTTGTTCTACTGAATTTAGTGGAAACATTGATTTTAAAAAATATTTATACAAATTTTTATTCACAGAGTCGAAAAATTTATTTTGGAAAGAATGGTGTTTTATCTGTGGAATTATATTCGTATGTTTCATGTTTATCGTACTATGGACGATATTAGAAATAATACAAGAGATTAAAAATGGGTAATATTTCTTAATCTATGAAAATAAAGATGATACTTGTACTCTTTAAATTTAATAGGAATGTAATTTTTTAGGCACGGCTTTTATAGACTTCCGAAAATATTTAACGATGATCCAACTACTATTCTAAATTTTGTTCACTCTAAGGATGGAATAACTTTACTAGGTAGCCAAGAAGCCGCTAATGACGTAGCGTCAGGAATTATAGATGACAATTAAACGATTAAAATAACTATGATTAAAAACATGTATATGTTAAAAAATAATCGTACTCTTTAAGTGGCTCAATAAAATACTTATATTTAATGTTTCCTTCTATAAAATAGATTTATGTTAATTTTGACTTTAACAGTAAATGTATAATCGTTTTTAACAGCATACTCAAAAGAGTCAAATTTCTAAGGTTACAATAATATAAAATAAGATGGTTCTAGTACAAAAATATTTAAGGTAACACGAATTAAAATTTTAAAAAATATATTTATATAAATATCGCTTGACAACGATGGCAGCTTATATTTACAATTAGGTGGTGCAAAACAAAATTTTATATTATAAGAATTAATCATTTAGCAATAAAATGAACTGTAGTTAACAATTTCTTCGATACTTATGTTCAAGATAACTCTACTGAAAGACAATGTAACTTTTAAATTTGAACATAATTGAATAATTTTGAACATTTATTACAATAAATCTTTCATTGTTGATCTCCCTGTTGTAGTTATTTCATTACCCGTGTCCATGTCAAAAAATTTAGAGAGTTACTAAAAATTTAACAGAGTTACCGAGACACTCTGTACATATTGCTTCGTTTAATAATTATGAGTAAATGCTGTTTCACGATACAACGTTTTAAGCAAGTACTCTCTTATTATGCAGTAGTATGTTACAATTTGTAACTGTTGCAGTGGCTCCATGCAATGTAATATAAATGACTGAAATAAATAAAATGCATTCCTGTGTGTGTCTTTCATGATACGTCTTTCAAACTGATCCATAATTACTCAAGTGATATTTTCCCAAGGTTCGCCACTACTACTATTGGTCACAGAGGAATGTCTTGAAATCTGGGGTAATTCAAAATGCCATCTCATATCTGCATTTACTGCCAGCCCGTTGGCTATCTCGTAATTCAGTAATGGTGGCTTTGCCTTAATGCCTAACGTTGTCGGTCTATTGTTAGGATTTTCATCCAGCATAATTTTAAGTAACTCGTACTGAAAAGAAAGGGTTTCCAATCAGTTCAACTCGATTAAAGCACGCGATAAATAAATATGTAGTTTATTTCCTTACCTCAGCTGGATGATCAATATCGAAGTCTTTTGGAAATATCGATTTTCTTAAATTCATCAGAGCCGTTACTCTTTCCATTTCGGTGGCAAAAGGAATGAAGAGTTCAAGCAAAATTATTCCCAAGGAATAGATATCAACTTTATAATTATATCCTAGTCCATTTATTTGTTCTGGAGACATGTAGAGGTGGGTACCAACATTCGCGGTATGTAAATTGTTTTTCAACGATACACTCTCATTCTCTGTAGTGGGTGTATGAACTTCACCATATCCTTCTGTCATCGCCGTGACGAGACCAAAATCGCCCACTTTTATTTTATTATCAAAAGAGAAGAATATATTTGACGGCTGAAATGTGTGTAGTAAAATACATCAAATCTTTGTATTATAAACTAAAAAAATACCATTCGATCGAACAATAAATAATTTTAAATATTACCTTCAAGTCGCGATGAATGAGTCCTTGTAGATGAACATATTCTACAGCTTCAACAATTTGCTGAAATATATTTAATATCCTACGACAATCCCGCATCGATTGATTTTTCAACCATTCCCTGAGGCTTAGCCTTTGGCACAATTGCATTTGTATATAAAGAAACATTTTCGGAGACTTACGAGTATTCGTCTTGTTATTCAAATCTAGAGAGAACGATCTTTGCCGCTTTTTTTTCTCTTCTTTCTCTGAGCGATCGTTACTTTCAATATTTTCGAACACAATGCTCTGCGAACATGTACAATCGTTAATCTTCGGCAATATTTCTTCGTCCACGTCGGTTGAAAGTGACACGTTCGAACTTTCGGTACTGCATTTGGTAATATCAATTATACTGTCGTTTGGCTCGCGTGAATGAGATTTTTCGAAAACAATAAAAGAATCTTCGTCCGAATCAAAGCGATTTAGAGCATCGTACGCTTCGGACACACTTTCTACAGAAGACTGATCGGTTTGAGTAACATTAATGCACACAGAATTATTGACTTTCGCTCTGGTAGAAGTTTCATCGGAAATAAATTCAAAACTCGGTAACACGATTCTGTTCATCCACTCGGGATCGTGTTTCTCTTGCCAACCTATAGGCGGACATTCTAACCATGCATTAAAATATCTCACAATATTCTGATGATCCAATTTGGCCAAAGCTTTCACTTCTCGCATTACTCGTTCTCTCGAGGACTGACTGTAAATAAAATTAAGTAATAAAGGAGTATCATAAAAAAGCGATAATTTGTGAAACACAGCAGCCAACCTATTCGGTAGAGCGATTCTCTTTATAGCATAATTGCAATCATCTATTTTATTCTTTGCTTCAAAGACAACACCGTATCCTCCTTTTCCCAAACAATTCACAGGCTCAAAATCTGTTAAATAACGTGATGTAAAACTATCGTTGTTTTCCTTATCGTTGATCATTTGAGGATTACTTATTATGTTTGTCTCGATGTGTCTTTCGACTATTAAGGGCTGCAAAAATATATAAAATCGATACTTCGATCAAGAAATTTACATGTTACATAAAATTAAATACATTTCTACTACCGGAAGTACTGCATCCTTGGCGACAGTGGTAGCATTCAACAGTCGTTGTGTCAACATAAAATTCAGGAGAATTGCGGTGGTGATCGAAATGATCAAAACTTCTTTCCTGTTAAAAGAGAAATAAAGTTTCTATTATAAGTTGGTATTTTAGGCTTCTTATCTTAATTATACATACCACCAATACCACAATGAAACAATTATAACTTGCACAGGAGTGTCATCGTCATCTCTGTTGGTGTTATTAAATATAAACGGCTTTTCATCTTCTTCGATAATTGTTGAGTTCGAAGTGGTACGATTACACTGTTTGTCATTTTCCAGTTGTAGCTGATCTTTTGAATACAAGTAAAATCCATCGTCTGTTAACAAATGTTCATGAAAAAAATATTCTGGAAGAAACTTATCAATTTATTGGTAAGAAATTTTTCGAAATTATTATACCCTTTACGTATTCCGACAACGCAGTGGTACTTTTGGCACCATTTATCTCGACCAAAGCTTTGTTATCCTCATTATTGTCTTCATCAACTGGAACGGTTTTTACAATGACATCACCTAAAATAAATAACATTTTACTGCACATCCATACCGAGAAATGATAAAGTAATCATATTCTTTAGAGCAAACTGAAAACACAGTTTCATACCAATAGCAGGATACAGCTGTAATGGATATTTTGAAGATTGTATGTACGATAAGGATTGTTCCAATGATTTATGCAATTCTGCGTTTTCTTGTACGTATAATTGTCTACCATGTTTACCCAAATAAATTCCTGGACTAACTGAGAATTCTGTGCCCCAAGGCCACTGCATACTATCAAATAAATTAATTTCTTTTAAATATTTATGCCCATTGTCTGCATTTGAATGTTCACGCCATATAGTAACAATTGGAGATTCAAACTAGCAAAATATAAATACAAATAATTAGTACGACATTTTTAAATTGGACTTTATTTTCCTATTATACCAGAATTATCTATGTTCGATATAAAACTCACCTTGTATTGCCACAGTATAACCTTAGGATTATTTCTATTAATGGCCCAGATCAAACCGTCAGGTACAACAACTTTAATTTCAATATCCCTAATATGAGCTTCAACTTCATTTTGGCAATATGTGTTGGAATTAGGAACCAGCACTAACTCATGTTGGCCAACACTGAAGTTCCATCTATTTCAATATACACGTTTTTATACAGAATTTATGTGATCAACAATAATCGAAATTTATCGAAATTACAATTTTACCTTTCATAACCAGTACGTGGTTCAACTGCTCTTACTGTCTGCTGAAACCGTTGAACAACAAGCACATCTTGTTCAATGTATGATCCCTCTCCGGTGTTATTAGTGCAACCATTAATTCCACACTCGTATAATATATTTCCAGTTGTACTCGAAACTCCTGTTGCAAACAAATTCTAATTTAGGATTGTGAAATTACTTTGAAATACCATACAAAACTTAATTCTGTCATTTATTTAACGGACATATAATTTAAACATTTACCATAGGATTTTACTTCTCTGCCACCAGAAAGTACTAAATCATCAGAGTAACGGTAAGATGATTGTATTAACTGTGCTGCAGACACAGGTACTGCTTCTAAATATTCCTCATCTAATTTATATAATCCTCCACTTAAAGATGGTATGAAATAAACTGTTTTTCCATTATCATTGAACT